CCAATGCTTCTTCTTGAAAGTTTCTTTTTTTACTTTTTTTCTTTTTAAACTATTTAAATACTCATCATTAATTACTGAGTTTATATAATCCAAATTATTATTGGAACCGTATTCTTTTGGAATTTGATTAGTTTCTGGTGAGAGACTTTCGGGTTGGCCTTTTCTGCATCTTTTTTTTTCAGGAATATTCATATAGTCTTCATTAAAATAAAATAGGCCATAGTATTTTTGAGCTAGAAGTTCTGGGCAATGGAATAATTTCTTGCAGTAGTCACTAATTGCTTTAAAACATTTTTTATCTAGCGGATATATATCAATCACTTCATGTTCTATAAAGGAATTTTTTTCTCTTAGACGAATAGAAATAGGGACTTGACCAGTGCTATAGTTATGGCCATTTCCAGTGACAATTTTATCTTCCAAATAATGTCTTAGTAAGATACTGCTTACATAGTCATTGTTTTTGTAACTAATTGAATATTCCCAAAGTTTAAATCCTCTTTTATTTTCCCAGGTTAAAGTTCTTTTATAAATATGAATACTTTTATCTTCACTGATTGTGTAGACCCTATTTTCAACCCCGTTCTGCTTCCATTTATTTTTTTTGGAGGAGTCATCAATTCTTCTAACTTTAACCTTCTCCTTAGAGTGGACCAAATGAAGATCCCCATCTTTTTTTAAAAAAAAAAATTTTATTTTAATTAGTTTTATTTAATTTTATAAATAAAAAATTAAAATTTTTTTTCTTACCCTTAAAATATTGCATTGATTGAATTTCGGTTAAAAATTTTATTGGAGAATCATTGATTATAACATCATAAAATCCACCCAATTTAAAAAATAAAAAGAGAATAATTGAATAGGATTCTTCACTTAATCTGAAACGAACATTTCCACTAGGTACATCATTTTTATCTTTTGAGGGAACCTCCTAATTATTAAAAAAAAAAAAATTAATAAAAAGAATTTAATTTGATGATTTAAATTAAAAATTTACATTATAAGTTTTGTAAAGAGAAGACATTTTTTTTTTTTTTTTTTCAATATATATATATATTTTAAAGACAATCAATTGAATTATTATTTTAACTTTTATTATTAATTGGTTGAAAGATACAAAATTTTTCAACTTTTAAAGAAAAAAAAAAAAAATAAAAAAAAAATAAAAAATAAAAAAAAATATATTTAATAAATTTATTTATTGAAAATAAAAAAAGGAAGCAAATAAATTTGTTTATCCATATTTATTATGGAGGGGAAGTGCTATGTGTGTGTCAAGGGGTGATTATAAAAAAATATTGAAAATTTTTTTTTAATATGCAAATAATTACTTTGCATATAAAAAAATTTTTTTTTTCAAAAATAATACATAAAAACCACCACATTTTGATTATATTTCACACAACATCTAAAAAAATAGCGGTAACAAAAAAAAATTAAAAAAATTAAAAAATACCCCACACCACTGTAGAGATGTGTTTAAGGGTGTGCGCTCATTCATAATGGCTATAAAAAAAGAAAGGGTATTGGTAATTTATTTCAGATATATTTTAGATTAAAATTATATAAAAAATTGATTAACTAAACACAACAAAAATAATAAAAACACCAACAAACAAAATATAAATTATAATTTTTCAATTCTAATAATCAATAATAAAAATAATAAAAATAAAAAATACCACTTAATTTTTTTTTTTTGTGCGAGTATTTTGGGGTATTTTTATTAAAATTTTTTATTACAATTTCCCTATTGTATACATATATTTTTTAAATTGAAATCCAAAAATTACTTAATTCATATTTAACCCAATCAACACACAAGTAAACATTTTTAAATAATCAAATTTTTATTTTTTGGGAAAATAAGGAGTACACTGCGAGGAAAAAAAAAAAATTTATTTTTAGAGTTGGAGGTTTGTTAAATTTTTTTAATTTCCAAAGTGTAGTAGTTTTGATAGGTTGTTATTTTAATAACAATTTAAATTAAGATAATGGGGCTGGGTTGTTTAATAATGTTATTTTTTGCAAGAATTAACATATATAAATAGTGTCGTATTAAATTCTTATTCAATATCATTTTTTATTACAACTACACTAAATATTACACTAGTGTAATTCAATCGTTTGAAAAAATATTTTTACTTTAACACTGTCGACACTATAGTATCATATTTATTAAGATTTTATTAGATTTGGATGGTGATTGAGTTAAGATCTGTTTTTTTTAAAACTGTTTTTATTATAAATATAATGATTTTTGTTTTTATAATTTTATTGTTTTTTTTTTTTTTTTTCCTTTCATTCAAAAAATTTATCAAACCTAATTTGTATATTCTTCGTTTTAAAGGAATTGGTGTAGGTTATTGTGTGTTGGGGTTATTTATTTATTGTTGTTGTTATTACTTTTTATTTTTTTTAATTTATTTTTTTCTTTTTATTTAATTATTTTTATTTTACACACTTACTCAAAAATTCAGTATATTGGTATTTTATTTTTTATCCAAAAAAATGAGTTACTACTTGAAAAAATATTTTTCCTGTTGTAAGATATAATAATTAATTTTTTTTTTTGCTCATTGATTTAAAATATTTCTTTAATCTTTAAATAGAAAAATACTAATATTAATTTTAATTTAAAATAATTTTTTCTATAGGAATTATATAAACTTTTTTATAAAAACATCTAATTACTGTGATTATAAAATTATTATTATTACTACTAAAATTATTATTGTTATTAATATTGTTACTATTACTATTTATAATTAGTATTAATTTGTGACCGCAAGTCATCAATAAGTTCCCGCCATTTTGCCCCGATGTGCATATAATTTTTAAAAAATCAATAAAAATTTTAAACTATAATATTAATATTTATTTATTTATAAATTTTTGTATTTCTATTTGTATATGTTATTATTGTTATTGTTGTTTTTGCTGTTTTTATTATAATGTATATTTTTATTATGATATTGGTTTTGTACCTTTTCTGGTTGATATTCTTGTTGATCTTGTTCTTGTACCTTTTCTGGTAGATTATCTTGTTGATCCTGTACCTTTTCTTGTTGATCTTGTTGCTCCTGTACCTTTTTTGGTTGATATTCTTGTTGGTCTTGTACCTTTTCTGGTTGCTCTTGTTGATCCTGTTGCTCTTGTTGATTATCTTATTGGTATTGTACCTTTTCTTGTTGTTGATCCTGTGCCTTTTCTGTTTGATCTTCTTTTTGTTCATCTTGTTGTTGGTCTTGTACCTTTTCTTGTTGGTTTTGTTGATCTTGTTGTTGGAATATTTTTATATTATAAAAAGAAAGGAAAAAGAAAATAAAATTTAAAAATGGAGAATAAATTATATTGGAAAAAATATTTAAGAAATTAATTTTTATTTGGATTTATGTTTTTTCTTTTTAAAGGATACACTTTCTTCTTCTTCTCTATATTCTTTTTTTGTTTTCTTTGATATGTTTTTTCTTTTTTTTGAACTTTCTTTTTCAATATTATCATCATCACTTTCTGGGAATAATGGTTCAAAATCTTCATCGTCTTCTTTGTCATCTTTTAGTTTATTTTTTTTCTCTTTCTTCTTTTTTTTCTTTTTATCTTTTTTAATTTCCTGTTCTTCCTCCTCTTGCTCTTCTACCTCCTCGGCCTCTTCTATTTCTTGTTCCTCCTGTTCCTCTCTTTCCTTTTCTTGCTCTTCCACTTCCTCAACCTCTTCCATTTCTTGTTCCTCTAGTTCCATTTTTTCTTTTCTTTTTCTTTCTTTCTTTTCTCTCTTTTCTTTCTTTCTGGCTCTCTTTTCTGCTTTCTCTATTTTTCTTCTTGCTTTTCTTTCTGCTTTAGTTTCTTCAACTTGATCATCTCCCTCTTCCTCAACTTGTTCTTCTTCAGCATTCACAATTTGCTCTTCCTCAACCTCTTCATTATTTTCTTCTTGATCTTCTTCGACATATTCTTTTTTATGTTTCTTTGATTTCTTTTTATCTTTTTTATTTTTTTTAACTTTGGTTATTTCTTTTTCTTGATCATCGTCCATAACCTCTTCTTGGTCTTCATTCAAAACTTCCTCTTGATCATCGTTCATAACCTCTTCTTGGTCGTCATTCATAATTTCTTCTTTTTCCTCATCATCATCATCTTTTACTCTTTTCAATTTTCTTTTTTCCTTTTTATTTAATTTATTTAATTTCTCTTTTTCTAAAATTTCTTTTTTCTTTAATTTTTCTATTTTTTCATTTTCTTGATTTAATAAAGCTTCTTTGATAGTTTCATATATTGTTGTTAAATAAGATGGGGAATAAATTTTAAATTCTGGAATTGAATAGTTATCTGTTTTTGAAATTGGAAGCTTAAACTTTAAAACGATTTTAAATAGAATATCTAATTGCCTATTTGTATTATAGTTTTGATTTTCATTATACTCGAGTTGATAGAGAGTGTATTTTGGGTTATTCTTTTCTTTATTTCTTTTGGTGATTGCATTTAATAAGTGATCTTGAAGCCATTCGATAATAGTTGAACCATTTTTGGTAGAGTTGATTTTTTGAACAATTGATGTTAATCTTTCACGATCTAAAGAGTCTTCTAATTTTGAAATTACATTTTGCAATATCATTTTATCTTCATCTTCAAAGTAGTTTTCACCATCATCACTGTCATCTGATTTCATTTTTTTTAATCTACCAGTTTCTTTTGAAATTGTTAATGAGCTATCTTCATCTTCTTCATTTTGTTGAGGGATACCACCAATTTCATCTTCAAGACCAGGTTGATGTTTGTTATTGTTGATATAAAAACAATCAGTTTTGTGCTTTGGTATTAAAATATCAATTAAAAGGGTTTGATTTGTTTCGACAGCTTTGAAATAGTTTGTTAGGATTTGATTAATAACTTGGAAGAGTTGTTTAGAGTTTTTATCCTTTGATATGATCAATGGATCGTTTAAAAGGTTCTTAAAGAGATAAAACAAAGAAATTTGATAAAACATTGGCTCTAAATCCAAATCTTGAGCGATTCTCTTGTAAATTTCAATGATTTGATAATTTAAAATATCAGAGTTTGTATGATAGCAACCCAATACTAAGGCAATATTTCTGATGATATCATAGTTTGCAAATTCTGCCATAAATGATTCAAAATCCATACTTGATTTAACTTGATTCTCTATTTCTTCTTCTTGATCTTCATTATCTTCATTTTCTTCTTCATCCTTTTTATTGGTACTATCGTCATCATTATCATCTTCTTTAATGGCTTGATCATCAGCTTCATTTAATCTTTTTGCTTTCTTTGATTGTCTCTTTGATTTTACTACAATAGATTGATTCTTTTTACAAAAATTTTCGACCATTGTTATTGTTGTGTGAGCCAAATCAATTAAATCGATTATCATTGATTTACTAAAGATTGATGGTTGATAATTACGCATTAAAGTTACAATAAGCTTAAGATAAGCGTCACGGTCATAATAGATACTTGACTGCATTTCATAAGAGATTTTAATATATTCTTCAACAGATGAATGAGACATATAGTTTAGCAAAGATATCATTTCTCTGAGAGTGCTAACACAAATTTCGAGCGATAGGTTATTCTTTGTGGTCTGGTAAGTGGAACAACAACCAAAGATAAATTGGAAATTTGAAATTGATAATGTTGAAGATAATGACCCAATAATATTATCAATTGTAAACTTATCAACACCAATTTCATCAGCCTCCTCGTCATCGTCTTGTGGTTCAAATCTTTTGTCAACACCTTCTTCTAATTCTTTTTCCATTTGTTGGTTCTTCTTCTTTTCTTCTTGTTGTTTTGAAACATATCTTAAGAGTTGTAGGGAAAAACCAGTGAAAAACTTTGTTAGCAAAAGGAAATTAAGTTTTTCGCTATCTAAAATTTGGTTATCGTCTTTAGCAAACTCTTGAATAATAATGGACATTAAATTATCATAGCTTCCGTCCAGGAACTGTTCAGACCAATTCTTTAAGATGGATCTAACTTGTAAAGAGGATGGAGTTCTTTTTCTTTCACCAATAGCTTTTACACGACTTGATAATAGGGAGGAATTGAAAACACCACTGTGTAGATTGGTTGGTCTAATTGCATTTTGGGTTGCTAAATCTGGTAAAGTTTTATTTATAATCTTTTTGCCATCAACATTTGAAAAACTTGAATATGCACCAATAAATCTGCTTGTGTTTGAATTTGTAATTAATTTTGTTGACAATTTTTTTTCTTTTTTTAATAAATTTATTAAACTTTCTTTTTTTTCTAATTCATCATTTAAAGTTGATGTTGATGCTGATGATGGGGTTGATGTTGTTGATTCATTTGACCAAATTTCGTTTGGAGTATCATTTTTTAATAATAAAGTGAAAATTTCCAATAATAAAAGTGAGTAGTTGGTAATTGATTTAAAAATTTTATCTTTTTTAATGGTTTCTGATAAAATTAAAAATAATTCTAAAATTTCAGATCTGTAAAATATAAAAAATAATTATTAGAATATGAATATCTATCTATAGTTTAATTTTATTTATTATTGTAACTACTTACTCTTCTAATAACTCTATTAATTTACTATGCATATGACAACGATATTCAAATTCTAATGAAACTGATGAAATTGGGTCTTGAATTTGTAATACATTTTTGATTAAAGTTAAAATCAACTCTATAATTAAATAGTCTTGATTTGACCCGCTTGATAAAGATAATCTAGTCATTGGTTCGTTTAAAATTCTTAAAAAAGTTTTCAAAAGTTCTCTATTTAAAAATGATTCTTTAAAATTTAACATATATAAATTTTGTTTTGGTATTTCATATGATTCGATATTAATTGGTAATTGATATGTTAAATTTACATAAATTCTCACTATTTTTTAAAAAAAAGGTTTAGTTAATATTTATTTTATATAAAAAAAGAAACTTTTTTTTAACTTACAAATTGAAATAACCAAATCTGTATTTGATGCTTGGGTAATAAGTAATGGAATCAATTTATTTTTTACAATATTATTTTTACCAAGATAATGAAACACTGCTCTATCAATTTCGTCATCTTCCTTTAGCATACGATATAAAATTCTTGCAGCCTCTAGACAATCCTCGCCACATTCAAATGTTCTGTTGCTGTTACTGTCATATTCATTTTGTATGGTTAAATCTTCCTGTTCTTTATTTAATTGAAAATTTTTTTTTATATTTTTATTTAATTGTTTTATATTGTTATTGTTATTATTGTTATTGTTATTGTTATTGTTATCATTATCATTATTGCTTTTATTTCTTTTCCATGAACCAAGTTCTGATAATAATGCTACTAATTCCGATTCATCCATTATTTTAATTTATAAATTATTTAAAAATATTTATATAAATTTAAATATATAGTATTTATTAGATAAATTAAATAAATAGTTATTTACATATAATACAAATATATAATATAATACATAAATGAAAAAAATAAAAATAAAAAAATTTAAAAAAAAAAATTTAAATTTTCAAAAAAATTA